GCGTGGCGGGGCGGGGTGGGGCGCCAACGGGCCCCCTTCATTTTGAGCATAATGGCGGGCTGGCGCCCCGCCCTGGGCCGGCCCGCTCTGCCCGCCCTGCCCACTCGAATGGCTCCTGATAATACACGTGCACGGAAGCCCCGCGGGGGAGGGATGGCGGGGAGGGGCGGGGGCCGAACTCACGTTTTGGCCCCGGCCCCCGCCGCCGCTCGCTCGTCGCGCTGCTGAAGGGGTGACAGGACGTCCTCTGCTCCGCTGATAGCTCCCCTGCCGCCGGCACACACGGGACTCTTTTGTTTTATGTATTTTCGCTCGGCTTTATTTTTATATTAAAAATCAACCATACTCTCCTCTGCCCCTCCCACCCTTCTCTCTTTCCCCTCCCCCGCTGCCAGTTCATCTCCTTTTTCATTCCGGCCGTCTGCACAATGATGATACGGTAATTAGAAAAGGACTTGTGCTCTCGTGGACCAGCGCGCGATTGGGGGGACACGTCTCTATCTCGGATGTGCACACTCACTGCTAAGACGTTCGCACTGTCACGTGGTCATGTCACGTGCTCCAACTACACCCAGGTGAGCACGTTCTCGCCGAACTTTATAACATTGTACTTTGTTTCAAGAAAACTAAACTTGCCACAAGGATACTTTTCTCAGAACAAGCGCAACATTCACATTCAACTGAAAAATCAAGAACATGCTCCTTGGGTGTAGCCCCACTCCTCCACCCCTGAGACCTTTTTTTTCCGTGCCAAGAGGTGTTTACTTGAATTTTGGTACATAGTCATTGAAAATGCGCGCAGAACTGAAGAATATGGCCGAAATATCGCACCCTATTTGTTGCCCATCAGAGACAATTTTAATATAGTTCGAGAACATTGTTTGCCTTTTGCAGTTTTCGATCGCAGCCCAGGCCAGGCTCGCGCGCCGCGCGCGTCGCCAGGCTAATAGCTGGCCTTCTGTTTTGTTGCTGTTTTCTGGAGCAGAGAGTAATTGGACGTCTGGGCCGGCCAGGGTGGGGCGTGGTAGGGCGGGGCGTGGCGGGGCGGGTCCTTTATACACTAGCCGGCTCCCTCCTTCAATGCCGCGCAGCGGTGCGTTGTAGTGTTGGTGAGTCACAACGCGACGCGTCGAGATCAGGGCGGTAGACTGGCCGGAGGAGAGAGAGGAAGGAAGACAGAGAGTCGGAGAGAGGAAGGGGGATGCGGTGAAGTTTGGGGGTGGCGGGGAGGGAAGACTACGTATTTCAACCGCGTTCCTCTGAGCCCCCTGTAATGAACGCCAGCCACCCCAGAGTGAGCCCCCCACCCCCAGCCGCGTTCGCCTAGCTACCAAAGAGACCGAAATGAAACGACACTCTGGAAGCGGGGCGGCCGGGCGCGCGGCGGAGCACCAGAGGCCACTACTGGGCCTCTGTGAGGACCCTGGTCCGGCGTCCTACACACTCACAAAAACGTTTCATGTACAAGCCCTTTTTAGCAGATGATACATTATACACAACTGAAAGTAATAATACTTTACTTAACTATGTATCATTGCTTGTACTCTCATGCGGAGCGCTGAGAGGCACCGACCAGGCATGACGTCATCCAGTAGTGTGTGTAGGGGCGCGTGATGCGGCCCCCGCGCTCCGACCGTGCCCATGCCGCACAGCCCAAAGCTATACGCAGGCTCCCCTCCCCCTCCCCCTCCCTCCGGCAGACTCGGCTCGTCATTCGGCTCGAAGCGCAGCTCGGAGCTCGGCTTGGACCGTCTCGGCTGAAGAACGCGCGCGGCGCGGTAATTTAAACTCTAACCTAACTATGAAGAGACAGAACTAAATGAATTCAGAAACATTATTTTCAAACCACTTCTCTATAGAGAAGTATCACTCGCAAACTGTCTCTACGTCCCTCTTCACACTAACTTGGTCTTAGACCCTTCAAAACATTACAAAGACTAGGAGACACAGAACACAACCCAAATCTTTTTATGTAAAAATATGTAATTAAATGTGAATTAAGATTTGTAAATTATCTTTACACTTCTGCATAATGCGTCCCGTGATCTCCCACTGAAATATTATAGACTGGAATAATTCTTGAATTCGTATCATCTGCTTTCACGATCCGTTCCTGAACGGAACTTTTTTTTCCCCAAAATGTGGCAGGCAGCAGCAGCAATAACAATTAAATAGCGGCGGATGAAATTTTTCAGGGGGGATTTTTTTGTTGCAGACAATATTCGACGGTGAGGAGATCCCTCGCGGCTAGAATTTGGCGCTTCGCACTCGCACGGCCCTTGGCCCTCGCACCCAAAGCGGCAACGCCACGGCCCTCCCGGATCCGAGCGACGCCCTCACAACGCCAAAGCTGAGGGCCCTTCACTTCCGAGGTCCGCCCTGCCCTGCCCCGCCCCGCCCCGCCCGGAGCGCTCAGAGGCGCACAGGTGCTGGCTTCCTTACTCGACAAAGGGACGTCGGTGGCGACACGGCGGCGCCCTTCGTCTACACCAGCGCTGGGCTTCACCACGCGGAGCACCGTTCCTGTGTGGGCGAGTTAAAGTCCCGTCCGAAAGATCATCATTCTTCTGGGATCGATCAAGAGGTAGTCTAATATATGGTAAATTACAAGCTTCGTTTTGCATTTAAAAAGGTACATTTATTTTGGATTCTCTTTTACATGCTCCTTTTGCCTCAACCGTTGTACGCAAGTCTTTACAAGCATGAGAACTCTTGTCGCATTCATAATTCATGCAAATAACATTCAACCAAGTTACAGAATTGATGATCATAAGGTATTTAAAAGATTTTATTTGATTATTATTAAGGCTCCTGTAGGGGTTCGTAGATCCCAGTGATGTGCTTGATAATGATGATCCGTATGAGATATTAGATGGGCATGGAACACACGGACTGTCAAAGACGACCCTCAGAGGGTTTCTCGGTCGTGTGCATTTTTACAAGATGTTTACGCAGATTACTGGATGAAGAAAACTTTCTTTTACACTCAGTACACTCAAAAGGTCTCTCTCCCGTGCTAACTCTAGGATGTAAACGCAGTTCAGCAGAACACGAAAATGTCATGTTGCACAAAATGCACTTAGGTGTCTGCGTGGGTTCGGGTGTGCTTTAGAAGATTGTCTTTCTGAGCAAACTTCTTCTCACAATGGGTACACTCAAATTTCTTCTCGACCGTGTGAGTTTGGAGATGTATACGAAGATAAGAAGCCGACGCAAATGCTTTCTGACACTCAGTACATTTGAAAGGTCTTTCTCCGGTGTGCGTTCGGAGATGTCTACGCAGCGCCCGCTCAATCGAAAATTTCTTGTTGCACAAAGTGCACTCGAAGGGTTTCTCTCCCGTGTGGGTTCGGGTGTGGTTAAGCAGGTCACCTTTTTTAACAAACTTTTTCGGGCAGGAAGTACATTCAAAAGGTTTCTCGTCAGTGTGCGTTAGTACATGTTGACGCAGATTACTGGCTTTCATAAATCCCTTGTTGCACACCGAGCACTTAAAAGGCTTCTCTCCCGTGTGCACAACAAAGTGTGCAAGCATTTCACTACGGGCCCTGAATTTCTTGTTACACGCAGTACACTGAAAAGGCACCTCTGGCTCCTCTCCCGTGTGTGTCCGGATATGTGCACGCAGCACGTGCCCCTGCCGAAATTTCTTGTCGCACATATTGCACTCAAAAGGCTTCTCTGTCGTATGGTTATGGAGCAAATGGCTACGAAGAGCACCAGTGGACGAAAATCTTTTGTGACATTCTGTGCACTCGAAAGGTTTCTCCCCCGTGTGCGTGGTCCGGAGATGTGCACGCAGCGCCTGGTCTTGTGAAAATTTCTTATGGCACACAGTGCACTCAAGAGGCTTCTCTTCTGTGTGAAGTCGCACATGTGAACGAAGGGTACTAGTGGAGTTAAATGTTTTGTAGCAGGCAGTACACTCAAACGGTTTTTCTCCAGTGTGCGTACGGGCGTGTATCCGTAGATGACTACTTTGCGTGAACTTCTTCTGGCAGTGGGTACATTCGAAGGGCTTTTCTCCAGTGTGCATTCGGAAATGTACACGCAAATGCGCATCTTGCGAGAATTTTTTGTCGCACACAGTGCATTCAAAAGGCTTTTCTCCCGTGTGAGTTTTGATATGGGTACTAAGATTAGTAGTGGACGCAAACGTTTTGTGACACTCGGTGCACTCGAAAGGTCTCTCTCCAGTGTGCGCTGCTCGGAGATGGTAACGCAGCCCCTGCGGGTGAGAAAATGTCTTGCTGCACATCGTGCACTCTGAACGCTTTTGCTCTCCCGAGTGAGTTCGGACATGGAAACGAAGATGAGAAGTCGACGCAAATGTTTTGTTGCAAACAGTGCACTCAAACGGTTTTTCTCCAGTGTGCAATCGGATGTGTACTCGCAGATAACTACTTTCCGCGAACCTCTTCCCGCAGTGGGTACATTCGAAGGGCTTTTTGTTTTCAGTGTGTGATTGGAAATGTCTACGGAGAGACTCAGCTCGCTTGAATTTCTTCTCGCAGAGGTTACATTCGTAGGGCTTTTCTCCAGTGTGCGTTCTGATGTGACTTTGGAGTGTACCACTTTGCGTAAACTTCTTCTCACAGTGGTTACATTGGAAGGGCTTTTCTCCGGTGTGCGTGCGTAAATGTTGACGGAGAAGTGCAGGTCGCAAGAATTTCTTGTCGCACACAGTGCAGTTGTAAGTTTTCTTTCCCGCCACGTGGTTTTTCATGTGAACGTCGAAAGCTTGTTGGGTAGCGAAGTCCTTCCGGCAAACATCACACTGGAAAGGCATGTTGGTGGCGCAGAATGGTCTCACGTTTCCTAAAAACAAAAAAATAAAAAAAACAAAATAAACAATTTACACAGCCATTTACACATTCAATAAGCAATAAGACAAGTAGGATGATGAATCAAGTGCGTATGTAGGCTATGATCGGGATCAGGCACAGCAGCAGGGCGCGCAGGGGCGGGGCGGGCCGGCCCGCGCGACACGCGAGCGTCACGCTGCCTACCCGCACGGCGCTCGGCAGCGAGTGCAGGCCGCGGGGCACTACTCCTGACCCGCGGGATGGCACAGCCTCGCCGCGCCCAGTATGGCGACGGACAGCATACTGGGGCGCGGCGAGGCGCCTGTAATTATCGCCGCGGCTCCGGACTGCGGACTCTCTCTCTCTCTCTCTCTCTCTCTCTCCCGCTACTGCGTCCTGCCGTTTGTGGCGACGCTTTCCGTTGTGGCCCGGTCCAGCCTCGGGATGGTAATGGCCTGGAGGCTCGGCCGGAGGCTCGGCCGGAGGGGGTGACGCCGCGCGCGCACGGCCGCCGCAGTCGCGCCTGGTCACTCGTGACTCGTGGCACGATTCGTCTTAATCCCTGCACTTACGGTACCCCCTCCAGCGAGCGCGACCCGCTCGGTCGGTACACGCTGCGCGACTTGGCAGCGGGCCCGACCTAAACCTCATGCTCCTGGTATTTTGTGTCGCACCATAACTGTTTTTGCCAAAACACCACTTTCTAGCACTTTCGGTACAAATTTTGCTCCACGCCTGACCAGCAGGGACCCCAAAACTAAAACTGTGAAAAAATAGTTGCATGTATTGCCGAAAATTTTTCAAGAAAGCGCGTCAGCGTGTCGTTAAATTATAATTCAAAGTTGCAAAATTTTACTCGATTTTACTTATCCACTTGTAGTTTATTGTCGGGCAAGAATAGGCAGGCGTAAATAAATAAACGCAATGTTATTAAAACATTAATCACAATTATGGTCAATTTATGAGGTTATTTTTAACAGTGTAGGATGGGCCTCCCCTTTTACCGAAACTGCCTTTCATGCGTGTTTGCGAGAAAGAGAGACAATGACAATGAGAAGACCTGAATGGAATGAAAACAGATCAGTGCGCGATAAAGAAATGTTGTCTCGCTGTCAATGGCACGATTGCGAAATCAGCCGATTAGCGGATGTGACGAGTGTTTTGACTTCGAGTCTCGAGTAGGGCGTATGGAGTGGACGCGAGCGACACCACAGGAAAAGAGAGGGAGGGGAGGGAAGGGGCGTAGAAATGTCCACTCACACACTCGAGACGCGTCACGGAGTTACGCGCATTTCAGTGTTTTCCTCGTCCTTTTTCTTTTCTCGCTGCTCTGCTTGCGGCACCGGCCGGTGCCGGCCGTGCGCGACTGTGTGCGGCGCCCTCTAATCTTTTCGATTGTCGCGTGCCGCGCCCGAGTAAGGCGGCGCGTGCCAGTCCGCGTGCCACTCCGTGTCCAGTACATCACTGGTCGGCGCACCGCCGGGCAGCGCCGCGAGAGCGAGTGAGAAGGGAGAGACAATTTCCCACCGCGTGCCCGGCCTGGCGGCCCGCCCGGTCGGTCCGCGGCGTGGAGGGGGGGCACGCCGTCGTCTGGCCGACGGGTCCCGCACCGCGCCGAGGACAAAGTGCTCCTCTTAATAATCTCCTGGTCACTGTAAGGCTGCGCTGTTGCGGGTCCTCCCGTTGCGACACTGTCTGCGCATCACTACGGCACAGTGCTCTTTATAGTTAGTTTCATCTTCAGACAGGCCAGCTGCTGTGCTGCTTGCGGTTTTTCGACCGCGCGCCGCGCACCTTGCACTCGCCCGGCCGAAGCTTACAGCAAAGGCGTTTCGCTTCGGCGCAGCAGCAAAAGGGAGAAAAAAAAGAGCTCATGATCTCGAAACGTTTATCATCACGAAATGCAGTACGGAGAGTAAAAATGAGGCGACAGGAAAACAAACTTGCGAGAAGCGAAACGGCACGTCTCGTCGCACTGCGGGGCGCATGGGGGGCAGCAGGGAGGCTCCAGGGGTGACGGCGGGAGGAGGAAGAGGGAGGGAAATGGAAAGGGTGCAACGGCTAGGTGGAAAAGGATTCCGAAAACGGCTCATTCACTTCGAACTTGTTTCGGTAAGTTACAAGAAAACCCAGCCCCTGCAGACGTTTTCCCAGAATACGGCCTGCAACCACTAACAGTTTTACCCATGCTTCTATTTTTTTTTTAAATAGTCTCACAATCCCAAACACACCATTGCATTAGTGGGAAATTGAATTTAGTTTCTGTAAAGCACAACATAACAAACGGACTGTCGATACAGTGATGATGGGACAGAGTTCAAATGGCCGTCCAGCAGCGCCCGGGCGCGAGGCGCCTCGCAGCAGCCGCGCCGGGCAATCGCCACTCTGATGGAATGATAATGGCGACAAAACTTTTTTTCCCCTCGCCCGACGAGGTGCAATACCACGCTCACCGCACGGCGCACGGATATATGTTGTTACGTTACGTTATCAGTTTGTACACCGCGCGCGCGATTTCAAACGACATTACACATTAAAATTTTTCTTTTTATTTACTACGACTACTATATACTGTGCTGCTGCTGCTGCGCATTGCATTGCATCGGCGCGTCGTGGTTTTTGCGCCCGGCCGTCCACCGTAATGGCCATAAAGTGCAGCAGCAGCAGCAGCGGCAGCAGCGGCTGCAGCGGGCCTGCCGGGATACATCGTCTCGTAAATTGTCATCGCCCAATGCAGCGAGCCGCTCGCGTGCCGAGGGGATGACACTCCAATACACTGCTGCTGCCTCACCCCCTCCTCTCTGCGCCAACCTCTCAGTCTCTCTCTCTCTCTCTCCGTCTCTCTCTCACTCTTATCCCAGTCCGAGGAGGGATAATCTCGTTGTAATTAGATCGCGTGAAGAAGTTGGCGCTGGGCAATGCAGCGCCATGCGGCCACAGTAGCGCGCTTGGAATGGGCGACGCGGGCCCCGGGGGCACTCGAGGAGGGGGATCGGGGAGG